CCCCAAAACCCCAAAACCCCAAAACCCCAAAACCCCAATATTAAATACTTAAAATTATAATAATATGAACGCTTCCCAACCTAACGGAACAGAAGTTTCGTCAATTTTGAACTTTCGAATTTTTAATGTGAGTTCCCAAGATCACGAGTTCCCAGCTCAAGATTTGATTAGTCTAGGTATGAGTCTTGAAGTATTGTAATAAATTATAGTTTCAACAACAAAGCATAATGGGTGGCAATCTCAGCGCTTCTGTACTTATCCTCAGGAATTGATACTTCAATTCGAACAGACAGTGCATTTGACTCAGGTCCAATTCTTGATGCACGAAACTAAGATTCCAACACTTATTGAATTGTTCATCTCAAGTCCTAAAAATGAAGCGTTAATGTCATCAGCCGATTATTCTAGACTAGGCCATTTCACTTTGACCGACAGTTCTACAAATAATTGTCTTGAGAAAGAGAAATATAAATCAAGAGAGCTTAAATCAGTGTTTCTAGACCACAACTGCAAATACCTGAAGATTTGCCTAGAAAAGCCTTACTTTAGCAAGCATAATCCTTTTAATCAAGTTGGAATCGCAAGTATAGTTTGTCATGGATATGGAGTTACTACATACGAAGGTAATTTAAACTCAAATAATGATTTAGAAGATCCAAGTTATGGCAATTTCACTCCTGTACCTAACCTGAACCAGAGTTACCCAGCCCAAGACCAAGACAACCAGTATGTTGTGTCTTAAAAGCATAGATCTCTTCTCCAAAACAAGAGTCCTGAAGAAGAAATTACCGATCCAGCCTTAAGGTCTAAACTTGAACCGCTAATTTACAAAAAGCAAGAATGAGTTCAAAGAGAAGATTTTGACCAAGCTAAATACCTTAAAGAAATTATGGATAAAATTACAGCTCTGGATTTTCAAAAGAATCAGAGTGTGGCAGCAGAAGATTATGACACAGCTAAGATGATTAAGTATCAAATAGAGAATCTAATCAACCAAACCTTGACTGGTGGTAATTTAGATTCATAAATAACCCATAGAAAGTCTTGAGCAATTCCAAACAGAAACAAATCTGATCCAGACTCCACCTCCAAGATATTTGGGAGACATAGAAGAGATGGAAGGAGAAGAAGATGAGGTACTTTACTTTCTTATTTATAGACTATGTATCAGCCATCCATTGCCACTTCGAAAAGAGAAAGACCCATCCAACCAGCAGCACCTGACTTATGTATTGTTAATAAATAACCTTTAGATTCTGGAAATTATGACTTTGAAGCACTTGAGAAAGAGAGACTTGAAGAAGAAGAAAGAAGAAAGATGATCAAGCAAGAAATAAATACAACTAATGAAGAGTCTAAAATGCCTCATATTCAAAGTCAGATTAACGGAGAATCTTTCAAAGAAGGATCTTTAGCTAACGACCGCATTCCTGGACATCATAAAATTAATTTTGATGACAATCCTGAAGAATTTGCTCGAGAACTTGAGGAGAATCTTAAAGAAGTGGAAGATGTCCCAGCTGATAAGAGAGAAATGGCAGAATCCCTCAGTCAAATCTTTGATGAGGATATTATCAAGCATATCCTCTCAACTAAATGGCAGCAAAGAGTCAAAGGATTTGAAATGGCAAATGGCTACACTCTTTCTATTCTTCAAAAAGCAGATGATATCATAGCTGTCCAGAATTTAATATTTTCTGTGATAGAAGAAGGCTTGATGGATAAGGTAAATATTTTGTATGACTCTAGATCCACCATGTCAACTTGAAGGCAATGAAAATGTGCGAAACTTACATCTCAGCTAAAGTATCTCAAAATTCAAAGCCTATTAACGAGATAAAAAACTTTGAGAATATTATCGTGCTCCTCTTTGACAAACTTGCTGTGGCAAAGATGACTAAAGCAGCAGAAGAATGAATCATTCAGATAATAAATTCTGAGTTTGTGAATTTGGACTCTTTCATAGATTTCATGTTTGATCCTACCTCATTCATGGAAGAGAAGACTAAGGGATCCTATATCCACTTAACTCCAAGATTTAAGATTGCTCAAACGGTTATTAACAATATTAGAATGCTTGAGTCCAGTGGAAGAACAAAAATAAGCAGCCTTCCTCTTTTAAACCTCGAGGACTGAATAGCTGGTTCAACCTCAGTGAATTCCAAGGAATACAGAGAACTCTTGAAGCAGGTTATCCTTGATCTTTACAATGCTTTTGGCTTCAGGCATATTGAAGATTTTATTCACAAAGTTGATGTAAAGTTCTTAGAGCAAGTTTCAGACCCAAAGAAGACTCCAGAAATCCATGATTATTTGCAACATGTAGACGGTGTTCCAGAATAAATTTATCAAGATTCCAATAATTGTGGGATGAGGAGGGGTTTTGGGGTTTTGGGGTTTTGGGGTTTTGGGG